TTTTGGATGACCAGGATGATGAATGTATGATGCTTCATGTTTATTTGTAATGTCTTTTTTATACTTAGAAATGGCTTACATATGTATCTGTATGTAAATAAATGTTTAATCCTTTCCACTTGGTGTTTAAAGTGTTTTGATTTTGGTGGGTTTTTGATTTGAACTGCGAAGCAAAGTTGCCTTAAAATTATGTACAAGACAAACCGATTCACTTGACGTGATTTAATGTCAGACCAACAAATGAGTGGCTGCTGAGGATTTTCTGCTTGGGTTGAGCATATCAAGGCTCTTGCACCACTGGGACCTCACAAGAAGAGCAAAGGTGGAGCTGCTGTCCATGGGAGCAATGTCCCTTTGCCCTAGAGCACAAGAAAAATTTTATTCCAAACCAGTTTACAGCAGTTTGAAATGCTGGTATCAGTCACTAGAGGGTGGTCGCTGACAGAGGTAGTACCTTCATTCACCATCATTGCAAACCCATAGCTGGTTAAGCTCTTGTCCCACCAGGATGCTAGGGCTGTGCTGGATGAAGGTGCCATTTGGATGTTTCTATTGAATTCATTCTTTGTCCCTGTGCCTTTTTTTTGATGCTAGTTCTTCTCTTCAGCCTTCAACTTGCTCTCTTCATGCTCACGGAAGACTGCTTCTTCCACTGGCGTGCCCTAACGACTTGCCTTTCCGGGGGCCTAGAATACTTTTGGACAAGATCTCCCATTTCAAGCTTTTAGCCTTTTGGTCAATACATGAAGTTTGTGCTCTGGCTCATTCTGGGGATCAGGTTTCCTCCCCTGTGCTCTGCTCCACATCAAAGACAGCTTCTGCTAATACTTACACTGAGAAAGGAGCTGTGAAGCTTGAAGATGCCATGTGTCTTTTATTGCCTCTTCCACTGACCTTGAAGCTCCTTCCTTGGTAAATGTCTGACATGAGGGCTGCACCATCTGCTCTGTGGTCCCCAGGAAGCTGGCAGTTTGAGTCCGTGATAAAACAGAGAGGTGTTCAGTGAGGGAAAAGTCCCTGCATTCTTCTAGGTAGGAACTGGGCAAATGAGGGTTTGAAAACACCCTTAAAGCTCCGACAGCTTGGGAATTGAGTATTTCCTGAATGGGAGGAGGGTTGGGGTGCGGTGCCTGTGGTGGTGATGGCCGGAGAAGCCAAACCAAGCTCTTCCTGAGGAAAAGTAAGGGGCAGGTGGAGAGTGGCAGCTTTTCCTTGCAAGGAGCACGTAACCAGTGGGATGTGCAACCTTCTCCTTGCTCAGCAGGCATAGCAGCAAGGGCACAGCCTGTGCCAGGTTCTGCTGTGGGCAGACAGTTTGTAGGAGCATGAAGGCTCCCTGCAGACAGGGAACAGACTGCCCAGGGGAAGAGCTGCAAGACAGACAGGCTGCAGGGGCAAACCCAAGGCAGCTCGCTGCCTCTCCTCCACCTTCTCACACGCAAAGTCTTCCCATGGAGCGCTTGGGGAGCTCTGCCCAGAAGATGTCACCTTGCTGGCAGGAGCCTGTCACGCAGCAGTACTTTTCGGTCTCGCTGCATGCGCAGCCCTCTCGTGCAAGGCGCAAGAGATCTGACTGCCCCGCATTAATTTCAGTGGTATCGTACAGACAGTCCTACCTCATTTAAAACCTAGTCTTGATTTATGGATTTCTATGCATAGGGAATCAGCCACAAACCCGGTATGCGGTTTCAGGAGTTTTATTACCTTCAGAATGAAACATGCTGGGCTTTATTCTTTTTGTACAAGCTTATAATTATAATCACATCAGCTTGCACCAAACTATTGCCTGCCGTAGGGTGTGGATGGATTCTCTGCTGAATAAAATCACACTGCTGGGCAAAACATGTCATGTCAAGATGCTGCCGGGTGTATGATGTAGGAGTTCTGGCAGCGTTTCATTGCTAGCCACGTCAGGTCTCTGGTGTGTCGCTTGGATCCGGCCTAACCCCCGTGATGAAGTGGGTGTTTGTCCAGCTCAGCGCAAGGAGTGCTTGAAGAGCCGGTGATGCTGCAGTCTTGTATTGTGTGGGAGGCTGCAGCAGCAACGACTTTCAAGCTTTGTTTGTTTGAGCACTGGTATCTTAAAGCTCTTTCAACATTGCCTTCCCTGTGCTCTGTGATATGGGTATGAGCGATGCTGTCTTTCCCTTTACTTCTTCTACACAAACTATCAACGCAGACAGACTGTTTCAAGGCAGGCTAAATTTATTAATGCTTTTCCACTTGCCTCTAGCATGGATTCATCGAGTAGGATTTTATTTGCAATAATCTTTTGAACAGGCACAACCTTGGGAAATGCAGGCACAAGCCCAGCCTTGTTCACTTGGGCTCACCTAGAGCCCTGCACCGCCCTCCCTGAAGCAGCCCTGGTGCAGTTAAGGTGCTCCGATTTGTGGCCAAGCACAGGGCTAGCGCTCAGCTGAGGAAGCCACCACAGCTTATAAAGCCAGTATGTCTCTTCTGTCACCATCATGTCCCGTTGGCTGTGCCAAGAAGCCCTGCGGCGGGGACGTACAGCACAGCATTGCCATGTTCCGCTGCGGTGCCTCGGGCTGGCCTCGCTGGCACGGCAGTTAAGAAATGACTCCGCTCACAGGTACGATGCTTGAAGTTACTCTAGTCGTCTAGTTTTGTTTAATCCTGCCTTTCCTTTCCCCATTTTTTTGCTATAACCAGATCTTCCTTTTCCTTCTGCTCATGTCTAGGATCCAGGGGCTGCAGGGACCTAGGCTGGGAGCTGTAAGAAGAGACCTCGATCCTCCTGGCACAGCCACCTACTGCTGCAGCACCCTTGAACACCAGGATGAACTTCTGGGTCGTGCGTGATACCTTGCTGGGTGGGACAGCAGGCAGAAAAGATGGTTTGCTGGCTCAGGTCCTTCAGCGCTATCCACACTCTCTTAATGCTGGGCAAGCCTTTCAACCTGTGCCTCAATTTCCTCAACTGTAAGGAAGTAGTGGGGAAAAAAACCACCCCCAGCCAACACTGACTGCTACGGAAAAACTTCTCTGCAAAGTGAATTGACCTGTTTCGTACTTGCTGTGTAGCCCCGAGCCCGCTGCAGGCACAGCTCTATCGCACTGCCTGGCTGCAGGTGGCTTGTTGGATCTCAAATGCTCTTCTCCCTCCCGCCCCGCGATGAGAAATGCATTTGATTAGAAGGTGCAGAACTTACGGTAGAGACCGAGAAACCAAAAAGGGGTTTTTTTTTGTGCAATACATTCGACACTGTCCCACGTGATGTCCTTGTCTCTAAATTGGAAGGACATGGATTTGCCAGATGGACCACTTGTTGGATAAGGAACTGGCTCGATGGACACACTCAAAGAGTTGCAGTCAATGGCTTGATGTCCAGGTGGAGACCAGTGACGAGTGGTGTGCCTCAGGGGTCGGTACTGGGGCCGGTGCTGTTTAGTATCTTTGTCGGTGACATGGACAGTGGGACTGAGTGC